TATCACCAGCTTTCCTGTCCCCTTCTGCCTTCTAGTCCTTGTCCCTGGACTGCTGTGCCTCATTAGTCCCATTTGGTTTTATGGGGCTGTCCACTCCCCAGCTGAACAGTGAACCTCGGAGGTGACTTCACCACTGAGCTAAAAGGGTGTCTGGGGGCTGTGTGGTCTTTCTTGTCATGGTCTTGTAACTCCTACCCAATTGATTGGGTGGAACTGTGCAAATAAGGTAACTGTGGCCCACCAAGGCGATTGGTCAATTTTGCCATCCTGCCAGCCTTAAAACAAGCCACCCTAGAAGTGGAAAGGAGAGGATCTCACCACCACCAAAGAAGAGCCAGGTGCAGAGCACATCCTACGGGCCTGGAATCCCTGCGCTATGAAGCTACTGGAACCAGGAGACAGAGAAAAAGCTGTTTAATATTCAAGTTGGTGAGAAGCAGTGGCAGCAGAGGCAGCAGAACCAGGAGACTGGCAGGAGACCTCGCAGTGGGCTTCCCAGCCCACAAGCGAGAAAGCTGAATGCCTTTGGGCAGAATGCTTGGTGGCAGAGTAGGGTGCCTTTGGGCACTTGGTGGAGCTAGGCTTGCCAACCCATGGTGCTAGAGCTGAGCGCCTTCAGGCTGATGCTTACAGGCAGAGTGGGGTGCCTCTAGGTACTTACTGGCAGAGCTAAAAGAGTTTTGAAACACTTGCCTGAGCAGGGCAGAGGCCAGGGGGCCACAGAGAGGTGTGCCTGTGGCATGGCTGGGAAGAGGTTTTCCTGATGGAAGAAGAACTGTATCCTGAGCATTCCTGAACCTGAATTGTAACCTGTTACTTCCCTAATAAACCCCATAACTGTGAGTACTGTCTGTGAGTTCTGTGTGGCCCCTGCAGTGAATTATCAAACCCAACAGAGAGGTAGAGAGTGGCATGGGAGGGATGGCTGGTGTCAGAATTGGTAAAGATGGCAGAGAGAGGGGGCGTGTCTGACCTCCACCTCATAGAATCAGCTTTGGGCTGTTGACCTTGATTCTTCTTTCCCCTTGTGAAACCAGAGGAGGTCAGACGCCCCCCCCGCCCATGCCATGCCATTCTTAAAGCACCTGGCAGTGGTTGGTCAATTTACCCACGCAAATAAGGTGAGAATAGACTATACAAACGAGGTGACTATAGCCTACTCTACAAATGAAGTTTCTGTGGCATACCAAGGGGATTGTTCATTTTGTGGCCTGGATGGGAGGGGCCGTGATTTGAAATTGACAAGGGGTTGTGTATATATGCAGCCAACACCATAGGTGTTTTTCAGACAGAAAAAAGCAGGAAGAGAAGCAGCAGGAAGAAACAGAAAGGAGAAAAGGCAAGAAAGAAGAGAGAAGAGGCAGAGAGGGGAAGGCAAGGAACCTCCTAAAAGAGCTGCAACATGGGTTATAAAAATGGCATGGCGGAGGTGACTGATCTCCTGTAACTTCACAAGGCAGAGGGAGAATCATGATCAACAGCCCAAGGCCGATTCCTACAAGGCAGAGATCAGACATGTCTCTACTCCCCAACCTTTTTTACCAACTCAGACACCAATCATCCCTCTCACACCATTCTCTACTTCTCTGCTGTGTTTGATAATTCACTGCAATGGCCACACAGAACTCACAGACCATACTCACAGTTATGATGTTTATTAGGGAAGTAACATGGTACAGCTTGGGATCATGATCAACTTGGAAGTAACAGGAAGAACAACTCAGGACACAATTCCTCGATCAGGATAGCTTCTTCTTGCCCTCTGCCTCCGGGCTCTACTGGGGTTCAGCTGCTGCTGAGCCCTGTTTGGACCTTGCTACCACCAGACCCTGCTGGGGGCCTTATGCCCCAGGGCTCTGGTGGGGGCCTTCAGCCACCTAGCCCTGCTGCAGGCCTTCTTGGGCAAGTGTTACACCTCTTAGCTCCTTGGGTCAGCAAGCCCCACCACAGCCATCTCGAGCCAGTCTCCTGATTCCTGTCATCTTGTGCCACCATCTCTCACTGTCTTTTGAGTTACATCAGCTCTGTCTCTCTTTAAGGCTAGCGGGATGGGAAAACTGAAAAATCCCTTCGTTAGGGTTCCATACACCTTATTTGCATGGTCCCACCTCCAAGAGGGTGCCATGCACTTTATTTACATTATTAGAAAGCTATCCAATCCCCCTGGTGGGCCACAAGCCTTTCATTTGCATAGTCACACCCAGTCATTTGATGGGAGTTGCAAAAACTATGGCTAAACCAAAAAAAAAAAAAACAACCCTTTTCCGTCAAGTCAATTCTGACTCATAGCGACCCGTTGGCGACCCTACAGGACAGAGAACTGCCCCATAGGGTTTCCATGGAGCACCTGGTGGATTTGAACTGCCGACCTTTTGGTTAGCAGCCGTAGCTCTTAACCATTACACTACCAGGGTTTCCAAACTATGGCTAGAAAAGCCGTATTAAGTAATGCACTGCACCGCACTGGTCAAGGGTTATAACACTGAAGACAGCAAAAGGCACAGAAGGGGCCCTATGGCAGAGCCAGCAGTGACAGCCTCAGAAGGGTCCCAGTGGCAGATCTGGCAGCAACACCCTCGAAAGGGGTCCTGTGGCAGAACCAGCAGAGACAGGTAGGGCCAAGAAGAGCCTATCCTGAGAGGGCCAAGAGAAGGCCTGTCCTCAGGGGGCTGAGAGGAGCCTTTCTTAAGGGGACTGAAGGGAGCCTGTCCTCAGGGGGCTGAGAGGTGGCCTGTCTTGAAAGGGTGATAGGAGCCCTGCGTGGCAGAGAGACAGGCCTGCTTGCTTGCATGGCCAAGAGCAGCTGAGAGAGCTGTCCTGTACTGAAGAAGGGGGACTTTGTCTATCTGATCCTGATTCCAAGTTGTATCCTGTTACTTCCTTAATAAACCAGTTAACTGTAATTATGGTCGACGAGTTCTGTATGGGCCATTGCAATAAATTATCCAACCCAGCAGAGAAGTAGAGAGTGCCATGGGAGGGATGATTGGTGTCAGGAGTGGTAAAAAGGCTGGAGAGAGGAGGTATGTCTTACTTCCACTTCATAGGAATCACCATTAGCTTTGTGCTGATGGTGATTCTCTCTCCTCCTGATGTTAGAGGACTTTAGGCACTACTAATACTACTACCATTTTACACATACTGTATAATATTTTGAATAATGTTTTGGTTACAGTCTTACTTGTAGGGACCAGTGAGGTAGCAAATTAAGCAGTAATTCAGAGATGAAGTAAAGCAATGATAGAGAACAAGGAGTGATCCAATGTTATTTCTGAGATAGTATCAACAGTATGTGGTACCAAGCGTGAGGATAACACGTGTTTTTGGTTGATCTTTTAACATCTTCCAATCAACCTCTAAAAACCTGTTTTCCAGATAATTCTCAAAAATATCAATTTTTAATTGCTTGTGCATTAATGACTGCTGGCTGAGAAATAGAATGAAGGAGAAGTTGAGGGCAGTGTTCACTCAGTGGCAGAATTCTCAACTACCATGTGTGAGGCCAGGATTTCATTCCCGGCCAATGCACCTCAAGGACGGACACCTCCAGTATGTCCGTGGAGACTTGCATGTTTCTATGATGCTGAACAGGTTTCAGTGGAGCTTCCTTACTGTGATGGAGTAGGAAGAAAGACCTGGGGATCTACTTGTCTTTCACTGGCTTCACCTTTAGTGGCCTTTCTCCTATGTCCCACTCCAAATATAACCTAGGCCTATCCCACCAGTTCCTTTGCCCTGTCTGTGATGGACACTCTAATATAATACCAGTTTTTTCAAACCTTCTTCTGTTCTTAAAGCGGCTTCCTGCCAGCCTTTCTCAGTCAAAAGCTATTCGTGGTTGTCCGCTTACCAGCGTTTTTCCTTTCTTCTTCCCAGGAGGCGTCTCTGCTGTACTGACACTTGAACTCCCACTTGCCGTTTTTCAATTTTTTCTTCCTTCCTTTTTTTTAACTAGTGTTTAAAGAAAGCGGCCATATTACTTTTTTGCCCAGCCTGCTGAAAGAAATTTGATCCGTGAAATGTTTTCCTGGTGAAGCTCGAGTCGCCGAAAATCTATCCATTTTTTCCAATGATCGACGAGACAGGTAATCAGATAGTTTCGCTGGCTTTCTCGTTCTCCTGGCCGTCCCTAGCTACTGACACAAAAAGACGGCACCGTTTGTTCTGTACGCCCGGTACTGAAATATGGCCGCCTACACACAGACGCGACAAGACGGGCGCAGACCTATTACCTCGTGCGGCAATGCCGGAAATGCCATTGTCCGCGCCCCGTCAAACGCTCCGGACCCTGGCCGGCCTCCGTAGGCGCACAAGGATTCTGCGCGAGGGGTGGAGAAGTAGAAGCAGTTCACGGAAGTATTCCAACTTTTGGGAACTTCAGGTGATTCAGGAGAAAAACAGGTAAGTGTGTTTCTGTCCTTGAAACAGGGCGAAGTAGCTGTTTGAAGCGGTGTCGTGAGGACGCGTGGAGTTCCTGAGGAGAGCGCCGTGGTGGAGGTGCTTAAGGGGAAGCTGGTGGGAGTCCAGTGCCTTTGAGGTCAGACATAGGGTGAGTGCTTTCGTATAACGATTACGGCTGTCCGGACACTCAGGGTACGGAGGCTTGCCGATCACTCTTCTTGTAAGGGGTGGAGGTGGTATTTACGATGAATGCGGTGACTGGTTCGGGTTCGGGATGTAATATGGAACTCAGTGAAGTTGGAGCCGGAGGATGGACATTGTAGCGGGTTTCTGGTCTAAGTTTCGCGTTAATAAGGGTGTGAGGTTGGTTGGTATAATTTTTACCGATTATAGACCAGTGGTGGAACAGTGGTTAAAGCGCTTGCCGCTAACAGAAAGTTCGGCAGTTTTTACCCGTCAGTCGCTCAGTGGAAGAAAGATTTGGCAGTCGGCTTCCGTAAAGATTTACAGACTTGGGAACCCAGTGGGGCAGTTCTGCTCTGTCCTGTAGGGTTGCTATGGGTCGAAACCGACTCGAGGGCAATGGGTTTGTTTTTTTTTTAGTTTTGGTGGTCTGTGTCTGTGGTACAGAGGATTGTGAGCTGAAAGCTTTGGAAGCCCGGGTCCCCAGGAACCTCGACTGCTGAGACAGAAGGTGGTATATTCGAAAGCTTTGGTTTAGATAATTATATGTTTTCTCCCCTCATCCAGTAGTTGACTACTGAAGGAGGGATTAATCCACCGCGACGCCCATTGGTGTAGGGCTGCTTTCGCACTGCAGAAGTAGAGGTGGGTCGTTGTGTGGCCGACCTTATGGCCCACAAAGCTTCACATACCAGCACACTTTCTGCTTTGCTGACTGTTTGTTATGAATTGAATTGTTTCCAAAATGTGTGTTGTAAATCCTAATCTCTATGTCTGTGGTTATAATCTCATTTGAGAATGGGTTGTATGTTATATTAATGAGAGAGATTAGTGTAGAAGGTTTTTTTGGGTCAGTCTCTTTTGAGATATAAAGAGATTAAACAAGAAAGCTAGTAAACTGAGATGTGTATCCTGACGTCTATGCCTGTGGTTAGAATCATATTCGGGAATAGATTGTCTTCATTATGTTAATGAGGCAGGATTAGTGTAGGATGTATCTGGAGTCAACCTATTTTGAGATATAAAAGCGATTAAACAAGCTAGCAGAAAGAGAGATGTGGTAAGGTAACTGCCAAACCATATGGAGATCTCTAAGGAACCAGAAAACAGAAGCTGAAGAGACAAGAAACTTCCCCCAGAGCCGGCAGAGAGAAGGAAACCTTCCCCTAGAGCTGGCACTCTGAATTAGGACTTCTGGGTTCCTAAACTGTGAGAAAGTAAATTTCTGTTTGTTAAAGCCATCCACTTGTGGTATTTCTGTTATAGCACCACTAGATAACTAAGAATTTGGTACAAAGAAGTGGGAGTGCTGCTGTAACAAATACATACAATGTGGAAGTGGTTGTGGAATTGGGTAATATGTGGAGGCTGGAAGACTTTTAAGATGCCTAATTGTAAAAGCCTAGGTTGCCTTAAAGAGACTGTTGGTAGAATTAGGGACGTCAACCGCAATTCTGCCATGAGCTCAGAGGGAGGTGAGGAATCTATAGAGAAAGTCTCTGTTGTTTTAGAGGATACATTTGGCACCAACAAAGAATGTTGCTAGAAACGTGGAAGCTAAAGGTGCTTCTGGTGAGGCTTTAAAAGAAAATGGTGAACATGTGATGGACAATGGAGGAAGGGCAGTGCTTTTTATGTAGTGGCAGAGAACTTGCCTGAATTATATTCAAAGGTTTGATGGAAGTAGAACTTGAAAGTGATCAACTTGGATATCTGGCCGATGAGATTTCTAAGCAAGAAATCTTAAAGGGGCCGTGAGGTTTCTCCTTGCACTTACAGTAAAATGCCAGAGGAAGGAGATGGATTTAAAAATGAACTGTGCAAAATGAAAACAAAAGATTTGGAAAATTTTGTTATACAAACTAAGGACACATGTTATAGAATGTTCACCAAGGGTGTGGCTACACAATCTTTTGTTAAAGAGATTTAGCCTGTGACTGATGGATCCAACCAACTACCATAGCAAAACACCCATAGCGTAGACTGAAAGGAACAGAGAAAGAACAAAACGAAACAATACTGTCTGCCTCTTAGAATGCTACAGACAGGAAACAGGCCAAAGGAGCTACATCTGTTATTCTCCAACAAAAGAAAAGGACCACTCCTGGTGCAGCTCACAGATCAGCCGAACTGTTGGAAGGAGCATAGGAATCAGGGCCTTCTGGGTTTCAGAGGGTGGGGCCACAGTCTCCTGATCTCAGAGGGTGGGGCCACAGTCTCCTGATCACAAAAGGGTGGGGCAATAGCCTCTTAGGTTTCAGAGTCTGATCTTTCTCAACTCAGTTCTGGAGTGTGGGCCTGCCATTAAGGTGTGCCAGGGAGATGGGGCTGCTGCCCAAAGCTGACGGAATGGGGTTCCCATACCCAAGGAGCTGAAGAACAGCGCCTGCTGGGGCCCAGAGAGTGGGTTTGCCACCTAGATGAACTAGGAGAATGGGGCCACTCGTAACCAAGGGAGCAGAGTTGCCGTTCCAAAGGGCTTGGAAGGCAGAGCTGAAGCCCAGGGCCTTGGAGCCTCCACCCAGAATCCAGAGGGTGTGACCAACACCCAGAGTCTGGAGGACAGGGCCATTTCCCAGATGGTCCCAAAGATCGACAGTTCATTATTTATCCTCTGGCAAGGTGAGCCATATCCCAGTTTATTAGTAAGTCATGTGTGTCCAGTTCCCATTGGTAGTGTTAGGAATGGCATGCAGATGAGCTTAGGTATGTGGAGCAATTCTACCCAAGTATATATGTAAAAATGCTCAACTACTAGAAAAATGTTGATTTTATCTGTGTCATTTTTCCAATTAATTGCTTATATTTTTTAATGCACACCACTTCTCTTTCTCTTCTAACCCGTCTCATTGAGAATGTTATCAGATAACAATCTTCTGATGTCTTGTGGCTTTTCATTTAGCTTTTAGTATTTTGGGGCTCTTCCATTCCTTTTTTTGTTTTCTAAATTGATCTTCTTTTTCAAAAATGTACAACTTCACTAGTGTAAAGGCAATATACATGTAACTAACCACTGCCCTGGGAAAGAATTAGAAGTTTTCCAGCACCCAAGTGGTTATAGCAAGCACTTGTAGGCTTTTCTTTACAGTTTTGCCTTGTAGGTAATTATTCTTAATCATTATAGTTTATGTAGTTTTTCCTATTTTAAACTGAGTATAAATGGAATCTTATGTAATCCATTTTTTACAATCAGGATTGTTTTCCTCAGTATTTCTGAGAGTCATTCATGTTGTTACACATAGATGTATTTGCTTTGCTCTTGTGAAAATGGCATGGCAGAGTTGTCCAACCTCATCTAACTTCACAAAGATGAAGGAGAATTAAGATCAACAGCCCAAGGCTGATTCCTATGAGGAGGAGGTCAGACATACCTCCTCTGCCACTGTTTTTTGCCATCTTGCGCAGTCTCTGGTATTACAGCTCTCTCTGTGTTTCCTTGGTCTTGGAGGTTTTCAGCGCAAGGGCCCCACGTTGAAAGGATGCACTCCACTCCCATCTCTTCTTTCTTGGTGGTAGTGAGGTCCCTCCTCTGCTCTGGGATTGGCTGTCTTTTAAGCCTAGCTGATGGCAAAATTCACCAATTCCCTCCTTAGAGTTCCATATACCTTATTTTCATGGTCCTACTCCCCACATGGTTGCCATGCACCCTATTTACATTATTAGCAAGCTGTCCAATCTCCTTGGTGGGCCACAAGCACCTTATTTGCATACTCCCACCCAGTCCTTTGGTGGGAGTTACAAGGCCATATGAAAGCTGTGCGTTGTACTTCCTTGGGTTACTACAAATAATTCTGCCTTGAAAATATTGGTACTTGTCTTTTGGTTCAAATGTGCGCTCATTATGGGGGGATATACCTCAGACTTAAATTATTTCAAAGCGTATTTATAACTTTAGCCTAATAGATGATGCCTTAGTGTTTCCTAAAGTGGTTGTACATTTACAGTTTCTCCAGCAGAGTAGTCTGCAGTTTATAGTTAGTGCATTATATGGCATGTTTAAATTGTATTTCCAGACCCTAATATAAACTTACCTTCTTAAAACTTCACTAATTTGTCATTCTCATTTAGCGTCACACTTGACCATGAATTGATAGTTTTCTATGTTGTGAGGTAGGGATCGAGCTTATTTTTTTTTACATGTATGTATCATTGCCTAATTGTCATTTTTTGAAAAAACATTTTTTACCCACTTAAAAAAAAAAAGAAACCAAACCATTGCCGTCGAGTTGATTCCAACTCATAGGTGGTGCAGTGGTTAAGGCGATGACTGCTAACCAAAAGGTCAGCAGTTTGAATCCCCTAACCACTCCTTTGAAACCCTATGGGGCAGTTCTGCTCTGTCCTACAGGGACACTATGAGTCTCTATGAGTCTTTTACCCATATCTCTGCAAATTTTGAATCTTAGGTTTTGTGGCCCATGAGTGTAAAATGTTCTGAGTAACCAAATAAAGGGACAGTCAACAGTATTGAGAGCCTTATGTTAAGACAAGTGCCAGTGACAGCATATGGACCTAGAGGAAATGTACCACTCATTGAATTTTCACTTCAACCTACAGGTCCTGACTCCCCAGCAGCAAAAGAATCACTTGAAGGAAGGAGAAAGAGGTTGCAGATTCAGGTATTATCATTCTGGGGACGCCCTTCGCAGGAGACTGAAATTTCTGAACAGAAAATAGAGCTGATCCAGAAACCACAAAGACAGAGCATCCCAGTTGCTGGCAATGTCCCAAGAACAAAAGAAAATGGTCAAGGCCCAGGTGACTTTTGGTTTGTTTTATGCTTTCCTTTGTTCTCTAATGGATTTGTAGAGGCCTGTAAAATATTAATTCATTTCATCTGAAAAGTATAAATTTGGAAAAGTAGAAGCTAGAGAGAAATAAACTTAGACTCTGATTTCAACATCGGGCAATATAGGATCAGGAATATATTGTTCATGGGATTAGCACTAAATTATTGTCGTTGAACGTAATATGTCACTGGGGATTCTTTGGGTTACGTTAGCTTTCAACTTGCGTTTGACGTTTCTGTGGCCAACCCCAAAAGACTCATTATAATTTAAATGCTATGCCTAGTTTTTAAGGAGAAAGATCAATTCCTTGGAGGATTTCAGTATTTCACAGGACTTTTGTCTGAGAAAGTTTCTTCGATATTTTTTCCTAGACGTGATGTGGTGGGCAGTATTCTGAACAGCGGCATTTTCATAGATGCATGTAAAACGAGACTAGTAGTAATAGTAGTGTAAAATGGCGGGTGGCTTCCAACCTCCTCTAACTTCAGGGGTTAGAGAAAGAATCACCATCACCATCAACCCAAGGCTGATTCCTATGAGGTGGAGGTCGAACATACCTGCACCCTCCAACCTTTTTACCAGTTCTAACACCAGCCGTCCCTCCCACTGGACTCTCATTCTCTGGTAGGTTCGATAATTGGTTGCAATGGCCATGCATAACTCACAGACCATACTCATGGTTGTGGGGGTTATTAGGGAAGTAACAGGGTACATACAAGAACAGGAATTCCAGAACTTTAATTGTGCTCATGAGGAACCTGTACATAGACCAATAGGCAGTCATTTAAATAGAACAAGAGGATACGGCATGGTTTAAAGTCAGGAAAGCTGTGTGTCAAGGTTGCATCCTTTCACCATGCTTACACAATCTGTATGCTGAGCAATAATCTGAGAAGCTGGACTATATGAAGAAGAATGTGGCATCAGGATTGGAGGAAGACTCCTTAACAACCTGCGATACGCAGATGGCACAACTTTGCTTGCGAAAAGTAAAGAGGACTTGAAGCACTTACTGATGAAGAGCACAGACGATAGCCTTCAGTATGAATTGCAACTCAACATAAAGAAAACGGAAATCCTCACAACTGGACCAATAAGTAACATCACGATAAATGGAGAAAATATTGAAGTTGTCAGGGATTTCATTCTGCTTGGATCCACAATCAACACCCGTGGAAGCAGCAGTCAGGAAATAAAACGATGTATTGAATTGGGCAAATTTGCTGCAAGAGACAGCTTTAAAGTGTTAAAAAGCAGAGATGTCACTTTGAGGACTAAGATGCACCTGACCCAAGCCAGGGTACTTTCTATCACCTCATATGCATGTGAAAGATGGATAATGAATAAGGAAGACCAGAGAAGAATTGATGTCTTTGAATTATGGTGTTGTTGAAGAATATTGAATATATCATGGACTCCCAGAAGAATGAACAAATCTGTCTTGGAGGAAGTTCAGCCTGAATGCTCCTTAGAAGAGAGAATGGCAAGACTTCATCTCACATACTTTGGACATGTTATCAGGAGGGGCCAGTCCCTGGAAAAGGACATCATGCTTGGTAAAGTAGAGGGTCAGCGAAAAAGAGAAAGACCCTCAGCGAGATGGATTGACACAGTGGCTGCAACAGTGGGCTCAAGCATGACAGCGATTGTGAGGATGGTACAGGACTGGGCAGTGTTTTGTTCTGTTTTACATAGGGCCTCTGTGAGTTGGATCTGACAAGACAGCACCTAACAATACCAATACATTATAACTTGGGATGAGGATCAGAAGTTTGCAACTCGAGATCAGGATAAGGAAGCATGTAGGCAAAGTCTCCCTTCTTCAGTGAAGGACAACTCTGTCTCTTCTCAGCCCCCTCAGGACAGGCTCCTCTTGCCTCCCTTAGGACGGTCTCCCTCTCTAGGCCCTTGGCCTGGACTCTGCCCTGCTTGGTCAAGTGTTACAAAGCTCTTTAGCTCCCCACTCCAGCTGCAAACCTCCTTCCTGAAGGCCCTCGGCTCTCTTGCTTTGTGGGTTGGCACGCCCACTTTAGCCATTGGTCAGCATGCCCACTGTAGCCGCCTCACTCTGTGGGCCGGCAAGCCTGCCATGCCTTATTTTGCCAGACTTCTGGTTCTGCTGCCACCGTTTCTCTGCCAGTGGACTCTGCTGTGCTTGCAGCTGCTTCTTGCTGTGTCACACCTTCTCCGGTTTACAGCTCTCAGTCTCCTGGGTCTAGGAGGTTCTCAGTGCAGAGACCCTTGTTCACAAGGACATGCTCTGCTTCTGGCTCTTGTTGGTAGTGACGTCCCCTCTTTGGCTTCTTCCACAAGCTCCTTTTAAGCCTACTTGGATGGCAAAACTGACCAATCCCCTTTTTAGAGTTCTATACACCTTACTTGCATGGTCTCACCCCTGCAAGGATTTCATGCACTTTATTTGCATAATTGGCAGGCTGTCCACTCCCCATGATGGGCCACAAGCACTTTATTTGCATAGCACCACCCACTCATTGTATGGGAGTCACAAAGACTATGGCTAGAAAGTCCATATTAAATAATTCAGTGCACCAAAAGTAGTAGCTTCAGATCCTGTCTAACTTCAGGGGGGATTATGACCAGGATCAGCCCAAAACAAATCCTTATGTGGTGGAGGTCAAACATACCTTCACTCTTCAAACTTTTTACCAGTTCTGACAGTAGCCGTCCTTCCAGCGGCACTCTCTACTTCTCTTCTGGGTTTAATAATTTATTACAGTGGCCACACAGAAAGAGGAGCTAAGAGCAGAACATGTCCTTTGCTCCTGGGATCCCTGCATTCAGAGGCTTCTGGAACAAAGAAACAAGACAGAGAGCTGGAACACTGAAAACAGCTAGAAGCAGTGGTAGGAAGAGACCAGCAGGAGATGGCGTGGTGGGCTCTGGGGCCAAGGAGCAAGAAAGCTGAGTTCTTCAGTCAGGAGGCTTACTGGCAGAGCAAGGTACCTCTGGGCACTTGGTGGAGCTAGGTTTGCTGACCTACAGAGTTAGAGCTGAGCACCTTCTGGCCGAGGCCTTCTGGCGAAGTGTGATGGTTTGGGGTACTTACCAGCAGAGCTAATATAATTTTGTAGCAGTTGCCAGAGCAGGACAGAGACCCAGGGGCCATTGAGAGGTGTGCCTGCAGGCATGGCTGAAAAGAGGCTGTCCTGACGGAACTGTATTCTGAGTGTTCTGGAACCTGAATTGTATCCTTTTACTTCTCTAATAGACTGCATAATCGTTGAGTATGGTCTGTGAGTTTTGTATGGCCATTACAACGAATTATTGAATCCAGCCAAAAGGCAGAGAGTGCCGTGGGAGGGACAGTTGGTGTCAGAATTGGTAAAGATGGAGAGAGGAGGTATGTCTGACCTCTGCCTCATTGGACTCAGCCTTGGCCTGTTGATCTTGATTCTCCTTCCCCCTTGTGAATTTAGAGGAGGTCATATGCCGCCCGCATGCCATTTTTACACATGTGGACCTCACCAACATGGAAACTTGCTTCATCAATACCAGACAGACAGAAATAACAACTAATATGTAATCTAATCATGGAATAACATTGTATCACCTTAGCATATTCTGTTAGATAGATGGAACTAGGCTAGCCCATAGTCATGCAGAGGGGACTGTCCAAAGGTCCTAATGTGATTGTGGGGTTATCTTAGAATCTGCCTGCCACAAGTCTTTTGTTCAGTTAAAAATTATTTTTGGGTATAATATGAGATCTTTGGCTGTTTCTTCTCCCCTAACTCTATTTTCTCTTTCAAAAGTTATGAATAGGCGTGTGTTAGTGTATGAATAAGTTAAAATATAAGAATTAGGACAAAGCCGATTCGTATGAAGCAGAGGTCAATATATCCTAGATTTCTACATTCCTCCAAGCTGCTGAATCACTCCATCTCTGACACTGGCCACTCACACTCCCCTCAGCACTCTTCCTACATTTATGTCTGGCAGTTTGCTGCAACGTCTCACAGAAGTTACTTGCATTTAAGTGGTTTATAGACGAAGTAACAGGGTACGCCTTGGGATCAGGATAAAAAGCCTACAACTCAGAATCAGGATCAGCCGTGCAAGTAAGCAGACCCTTCTCTCTGCTGTGTACACCCCCCTCTCAGCTGTTCAGGCCTCCTCTCAGTTCCCTCAGAACAGGCTCCTGTTGGCCCCCTCAGGTCAGGCCCCCTCAGGACCAACTCTTGGCCCCGCCGTCTGTCACCAGTGACTCTGCTGCTGGACTCTTTCCAGGCCTGTTGCTGCTGACCCTGTTCCTGTGCCCCTTCCGGGCCTGTTGCCACTGGCACTGCTGCAGGGCCTTTTCCTAGCCTCTCACTTTCTTCAGTGTTGGAGACCTTGTCCCATGTTACAGCTCTTTTAGGAGATTCCTTGCTCTGTCTCTGCTTCTTTTTTCTCTCTTGCCTTTTCTCCTTTCTGCCTCTTCCTGCTTCCTGTCTGAAAAGCCTGTGGTGTTGGCTGTATAGATGCACAAATTTCTTGTCAATTTCAAGGCAGGGCCCTCCCCACAGGGCCACGAACTGATGGATCCCCCTGTCAGTAGGCTATACACAGTTCATTTGCGTAGTAGGCTGTAGTCACTTCGTTTGTATAGCATATTGACCAATCACTGCAAAGTGCATACCAATCACAGGGCAGGCTGCAGCCCAGTAGCAGACAAAGTTTCAGACCAAGATGTGTACAATTTACCCCAGAAATGTAGCAAACTCTCTGTGTTAGAAAACTAGTGCAAAGGTAACTTTCAAGGTTTTAGGGGAAAAATCTCAAGCTGTTTTTCCAGTGAACCCAGGCAAAGGCCACATAAAGAAACCCATTTCACCTCAGGTGGACATTCTCACTCTATCCGGGTTTACTAACCTCTCCTTTATATTCTTTCTCTCTATGCTACATTTTGGGTAATTTCTTCAATTGTACATTACAGTTGGCTATCTCTTTAGTGTATTTGATACATGTGGTGAAATGAGTTTCTTTATGTGGCCTTTTGCCTTGATTCTTTGGAAAAAGAATTCGAGACATTTTTCCCCTAAGACTTGAGTTTCCTTTTCTCTAGTTTTTTACCTCCGAAAGTTTCTTACTTTTGTCCAGGTTGCTTGACATTTCCTGTAAAAACAACTTGGTCTGATACTTTTTGCTTGGTCCTGGGTTGCAGCCTTCTCTGTGATTGGCATGCATCTTGCAGAGATTGCTCAGGAGACTATGCAAATGAGGTGAGTTGTAGCCCACCCACGCCTGCTATGCAAATGAAATGTCTGAGGCCTACCATGAGGGGATTGGTCAGTTTATGGCTATGCCTTGAAATTGACAAAGAGTTTGCAGATGTAAGCAGCCAGCCCCACAGAACTTTGTCAGTCAAAAAGAAGCAAGAAGAGAAGCAGAAGGAAGGAGAAAGAAAAAGCAGAGAGAGATGGGATGCAAGTAACCTCCTAAAAGAGCTGTAACACTGGTCAAGGGCTGCAACACTGAAGATAGTGAGAGGCCCAGATGGGGCCCAGTGGCAGAGCTGGTGGTGACAGACTATGGCACCAATAGGAACCTGTCCTCAGGAGGCTGAAAGGAGCCAGTCCTCAGGGCCAAGAGGAGCTGAGAGAGCTGACCTGCACTGAAGAAGGGAGACTGCCTACATGCTTCCTGATCCTGATCCTGAGTTGTAGCCTGCTGATCCTGATCCCAAGTTGTACCCTGTTCCTTAATAAACCACTTAACTGTAACTATGGTCTGTGAGTTTGTGTGGCCATTGCAACAGATTATCGAACCAGAAGAGTAGTAGTGAGTACCATGGGAGGGATGGCTGGTGTCAGAACTGGTAAAAGGTTGGAGGGTAGAGGTATGTTTCACCACCACCTCATAAGGATCAGCCTTGAACTGATCCTGATCATATCCCCCTGAAGTTAGACAGGTTCTCACAATGCTACTGCTACTGCTACTACTCCTGTCCCCATTTCACAATATGCTGTTAACTTCTCTGTTAAAATACACACATACATGTTTGTGTAGTATGTATGTGTGTGTGTGTGGGTCTGTGTGTAAATCTGAGCTGTTTCTAGCTTATGAAGACAATTTCAGTGCTACATATTGTAGAAAATTCTAATTTCATGAGTGGGTGGATTATGGAATGCACAAATTCAGTATAGTTTATTACGATTTTGCTTTTTTCTATAAGACATTTTTAAAAAAAAAAAAGGTATGTAGATGCAGCAGCCTATATAGAGGACAGGAGCAGAACAACTTCCCTCATAATTCATTCACATCACTGAATGGAAAATACATCATTAAACAGGATCCTCTTAACACAGGAATCACTGACGTTCAGCGACGTGGCTGTGAAGTTCACCTGGGAGGAGTGGCAGCTCCTGGACCCTGCTCAGAAGGACCTATACTGGGACGTGATGTTGGAGAACTATAGCAACCTAATGTCCATTGGTGAGGACAATTCTCTTGTCGTTGACCTTTCCTTTCTCACTTGCTGAAATCTTTGGAGTGTCTCTGGTGCTCTAAAGTGGCAGATTCTCAGTCCACTCTCTGGCTCTAGATAAGTGGATATATTCTCCCTACTCCTGACAGAAAAACCATTAATCTGTACGTTTGAAAAATGTTTTTCACAAATACGGTATTCTGCAGTCTTCGCATACCCGAGGCCAGTTTGGTGAGTCTAAGATTTTGTGATTTCCCATGAACAGGGTATCAAGTTAGCAAACCAGATGCACTCTCCAGGTTGGAACAAGGAGAACAACCATGGACTACATTAGATGAAAGTCATAGTGGACTCTTTTCAGGTGAGCAAGCGAAAAGTGGTGAGGGGGGAAGGCTGTGGAAATCATAATATTCAAGTGAGAGGAGGCGTCACATCTCTGAAGGGTATCTGAGGATACATAAAATTACCTCCACATATCTCTCTCCCCGTTAACACCTCTTTTTCTTCCTAAGAGTTTAGAGAAATACATACTCCTCTGTCTCTTCTGAGATCAGATCCCTGTTTATTTAATCTACATTTTGGTAATTTTTGGTACAATAATTTTTTTTCTTCGTAAAGTCTCAAATCTTTCCCTTCTTCATATCCTTCCACCTCTATTGCTATGAAACTCCACCTTCCAGGTCTCTCTCCAAAGAGGTCTTTGCATTTTATAACTGTCGTCTGAGTATGGCATTTTCCTTCCCTGCTGGGTGATACTGATTTTATTTCCTAACATCCAACCCTACCTTGAATGTTGTGCCACACAGTAAACTGGTCTTCATTGTGCCTTTATCTGCCTTCTCTTTTCCCCCATTCTGATGTTCTCCAAAGATTCTGAATTCCATTTTCTCATTTGTTCTTCTAACCCTTTAAAGTTTCCTTCATTCTAATGAGTTAAGCTCCTTATGTTTCCTAGAGGACGCTGTCAAATTGACATCTCTGTTGGAATTGTCTAACATAGACTTTTTTGTATACATTTTACTCTTCTCTAAAAATCTTCCCTGTGAGTTGCCAGTATCTACAAAGAGCTAGGATCATCTTCCCGCCAAGAAAACTCCTGTCAGCTTAGGTTACCCCTTAGTACTGTACATCTGAAATCCTAGCCATTTGGTAGTTACCTTGAATGTTCTACCTACAGGGCTCTCTTTTTTTAAGGTCTTTGTTCTTCCAGTTAATTTTTTAACTGAAAAAACATTTTTAACATCCTGCATTCTGAGTTCCATCATAACTCACGTCTACTGACATGATAACTTATGAGAATGAGAATCAACCCAAATCTGGTTCCTATGAGGTAGAAGTCAAATATATCCAAACATCCCCACTTCTATATTATTTCTGACATCAGCTATTCTTCCTCTGTGCTTTCTTTTTCTACTGGGCTCGGTAATCCATTGCAACAGCAACAGAGACTTCATGGAAACACCATGTCTGTGATAACAACTTTTAATATAACACAGAAGACTATAAAGAAATAATATAAACAAAGAAATATATAGGAGGAGGTCCTTAAGGGTTTCCCGCACATAAGCTCAACATGACAAGTGCGTTCACTTACTCTCTCAGCACTGTCATCAGCCAGGAAGCCTCTTAAGCGGGAACTGTTCTGTGATGTCACTCAGCAGGCTCTGCTTTCAACCACTCTTCTCAACTGGCTCCTGCCTTCTCCTGGCCAGCTCCAGGATAGCTCTCAGATGGTTTCATTTCTTGGACAGTCCTAGGTACTTTAGGCCGGCAGCATCTCTAGGCTCACTTCATGACATCTCTTAGTGTAGAACACCCTTCAAGTTGGCCCCTCCTTTGTAGCGGCCACCTGCTTGGTGTGCCCGATCCTTTAGATTGGTCGCAGTTCAGCCTTTACACTCTGCTGCTGCCATCCAAGTTCACTTGTTTCTGCATCTTCTTGTTCCATCATAGGCACTTCCTCCAGTGATGTTGTAGATTCAAGTGTGTTACAGCTCTCTTACCTGGATCTGTGGGGGTCTCAACACAGGGCCCCATGTCCAAAGTACGAACTCATTTTCCCGTCTTGGCTGTCATCGATCAGAAAAAAAAAACAAAAACACCAGACCCTTTGCCATCAAGTTAGTTCGATTCATAGTGACCCAATGGGACAGAGTAGAGCGGCCCCATAGGGTTTCCAGGGAGTGGCTGGTAGATTTGAACTGCCCGCCTTTTGGTTAGCAGCTGAGCTCTTAACTACCGTGCCACCAGGGCTCCCCAAAATCCTCAGTGTTTTTGCCCTTCATGTAGGCCAGTTCTAATGAGGGGGCAGGGCTTCCCAGCGATCCAGGTAAAGATTGTACTTGGTAGACCTCCTCCCCCAATCTGGTTAAACATCAATTATTGGACAGGCTCCAACAGCCAATCCCAGTTAAGGTCAGACTGGGCGATTCTTACCGCGAATCTCAGTCTAGGGCGGATGTGGCAGGGCTCCCCAGCTAATTCAGGTAAAGTCAGTGTAATCCAATTTTATTCTACTAGCTTAAGACCTTGTCTAATTTCAAGAGGAGGAATGAGAATCAAAATCAGCAGAAAGCTGACTTCCTGTGAGGTGCAGGTCAGACATACCTCCACTCTCCATCTTTTTGACCTTTTCTAATGCCATCACCCCCACGTCACTGTCTACTCTTTTGCTGAGTTTGATAATTCATTACAATTGCCACACAGAACCCATAGGTTATACTCACAGTTAAGTGGTTTATTAGGGAAGTAACAGGCTACAACACAGGATTGGGATCAATTTGGAAGTAACAGGATACAACTCAGGAGACAGTTCTTCAATCAGAAAAACTTCCTACCAAGCCTGTTCTCAGCTGCTGCTCTTGCTGTGCCCATAGGCAGGTAGCACTTCTCTCAGCTGTGCTTGTGCCGCACCTTACTGGGACTCTATCCTGTTTGGTCAAGTTTTACAGCTCTTTTGGCTCTGTTGGCAAGTGCCCAGAGGCATCTCACTCCGTTAGCAAGCCTCCTGCCTGAAGGCACTTAGCTCTCTCGCTATGTGGCACAGCAAGCCATCTTGCAGTGTTTCACACCGTCTCTCACTGTGTTCACTGTTACACCTCTTGATCTGTATTACAGCTCTTTTAGGAGGTTCCCTTCCACTCACTCGCTCTGTCCTCTCTCTAAAAACTCTAGTTGGCTGCTTATATAAGCAAGTCACTCGATCCAATCGGGTGGTTTTATGTACCCTGTTTGTGTAGTAGACTAACCAGTCCCTTTTAAAATTGTGACCAAGCCAGTCATTTTTGGCAGAATTATAAACCCAGGGCTGGAAAGACCACATGTAAGAGAAACCAATTGCAGTGCAGCCACGTAAAGGAGCCTGTTGCACCACACTACTTTAATTGAATTTCTTTGTATATTTACTTATTGTGCCAGCTGAACTTAAAAAGGGGGCAAGTAGGGCAAATGCCACTTTTACTGGTAACTGTGTGAGATGGATCAGCATGAAACCAGCTCCTACCTTCCCGCATCTCCGTTATCATCATTGCAAGCCACCCATGTGGCACTTTCTCCTCCCTGGTCATCCAGAACCAGATCCTCTCCAGCCTGACTGCCCGGGGCCAGGTCCTGGCATCCCTGGACACCTGGTGCCCGGTTTTCTCCTCCCTGGCTGCCTGAGGCTAGATTCTCTGTGTCCTGGCTGTCCTAAGCCAAGTAAAAATACACTAGTTAAAAGGACACGATCCTTCTGATCGACTGCTTGCACAGCCCATCTCTGAATTAGTCACCCTGAGCTCTGTCATAGTTTATAAGTTAGAATGACTGTCCTTCTGACTGCCAAATAGGCAGACACGAGCCTTGTTGGGTCATTGCCTCTTTTGGGTTCATTAATTCCCTAGAAAGGCTCACAGAATTCAGGGAAACTACCTGTACATACAGTTACTCATGTATTTTATCCAGAAAGCGCACTAATGAAGAGACATCTTAGGCATGGTCTGGGAGAGGTCCCAACAGGAGCCATTCATTGTCTCCAGGGCCATCCACCCTCTCCCATGTGTGGATGTTCTTAGCAGTCCAGGAAGCCCAGAACTTCCTTTTTCATGGGATTTTGTTGGCTTCATTTTATAGACATGATTTTGGCCTCATTGCATAAGCATCATCGATTGAAAGAGTGAGTATGCATGATTGATTGCATTATGCCTCCCTTGCCTCTTGAGGTTCATTGCCAGGAATATCTGTGTAACCCAGACTCATTTGCACACATTCTAAAGTGTTCCTGACTGTTTCAGAAAACATAGGCCCCTTGATTGCTGGAAGATTTCACGGGCTATCTTTCAAAGGACCAACGACAAAAGCCAAATTGAGTTCTTAGTCCCACACTAATTATAATCGTTTTCCTATTAATTGTAAATATTACCAATATATTCACTTCAGTCGCTCAGTGAACTTCTCCAGTTCCAAAGCTCTAAATGTTAAAATGACTAAAACCTTGGTGTTCATCTTTTCATGTACATGTTCTCTAAACTTGATCTTATTCTGTTCTGTCCTTAAATCATAGTTAAATATTAAAATGTGGCAGATTTTTACTTCCAGTCAAGACTTTTCTCAGGATTTATGAATCTTTCAGATTTTTTCATTTCTGTACTTGGATATGTAAAAACTATCTTGAGGTTGATACACTTCAAAATGTTCTATTGAACATTCTATATTTAAGTACTATTCCTTATCTCACTAAAAGACACCGCTACTCCATGGCTCAAGCGAAATACTAAGCAGCAACCCTTCATTTTTCACTTTCTTTACCCCACCCCGACAAGAATGAACTCATCAGTGAGCCTTCTCTTCCTTCAAAGTGTATCCTTATTTCCTCCTTCTCTCCCTACCCCTCTCATAAAAACCACTTTTCCCAATCTGCAGCTACTTTCTTTATGGCTTTCCTTGCTGTTTTTCAGTAGTTTACCAAACTAGAATGTAGGCTCCGTAAACATTTTAAGGAATATGTTTGTGTAGCCACAACAACTTTACTGTGTATGTGTGAAAATTATTTTCTCCAGAATGTAACATTCTGCATTCTTCATATACCCAACTGTGCCTGATGAATAGTTGTCTTTCAGTAAGGATTTGTGGAGTGAATGAATCTGTCCTTCACCAACTGGGATCAGGAGGCCCTACAGCCTCTGTGGACTGCAGGTCACAGTGACTTGCTTGAATATTACAGTCTCTACATGTTTTGTAAAACCTGATTTAAGAAGCAGCTGTATCTGTGTTTATTAATCATGTATTACCTAACTTTCTTTCTATACTAACTGCTTTAGGGTTGTTTATATTATTGTGGTTTTATCAGTGTGCAAGGAACATTAAGCGTGGTGTTTTATTTACATTTATATCAGAGGCTTGTCACTAAAGATCCACCTTACATCAGTGCATTTTTTAAATGGCTTTATTCTGAATCAAGATGATGAAAGGATTCATTTTCCTCTTTTCTAGAAATCCGGAAAGTTGATGATCATCTGCTTGGGCACTTGCAAAATGAAAGCAGGGTGGACAGAATGGAAAAATGCTGTGAACGTAACGCATTGGAAAATATTGTTCCTCAGCACAGAAATCATTTTCCCTTAAGGGAAAATCATGGTATGTTTGACTTACATGACAAAGCTGTGAAATCAAATTTAACTTCTCCGGCAGTCAACCAGAGCAGAAACGATGAAATAAAGAACTCTGCTGAGCTTAATGGAGATGAGAAAACCTTTCTGTATGCTGACCATGAGCAATTTTGTACAGAAATGAAAATTCCAGAAAGTCAGAAATCTAACAGCACTAAGTCCCATCTCGTTCAGCATCGGAAAACTCCCAAAATAGAGAAAATGCATGTGTGTAGTGAATGTGGAAAAGCCTTCATTAGGAAGTCTTTCCTCACTAATCATCAGATCATTCATACAGGAGAGAAACCACATAGATGCAGTCTATGTGGGAAAGCCTTCTCTAAAAAGTTCAACCTTACCGAACATTATCAGACAACTCATAAAGGACAAAAACCATATAAATGCGTGGAATGTGGCAAGTCCTATCTCTATCAATCGGGGCTCATTAAACATCAGAAAACTCATAGGGGAGAGAAACCTTATATATGTAGCGAATGTGGAAAAGGCTTCTTCGAGAAGGCAGATCTCATTATTCATCAGCGAATTCATACTGGAGAAAAACCCTATATATGTAGTGAATGTGGAAAAGGCTTCATCCAGAAGGGAAATCTCATTATTCATCAGCGAACTCATACTGGAGAGAAACCCTATGTATGTGGTGAATGTGGTAAAGGCTTCAGTCAAAAGTCATGTCTCATAGGACATCAGAGATTTCACACAGGAAAGAGTCCCTTTGTATGCAGTGAATGTGGCAAACCTTACTCCCAGAAGTCGGGTCTCATTAGTCATCGGAAAATTCACACAGGAGAGAAACCCTTTCAATGCAGTGAATGTGGGAAAGCCTTCAACACAAAGCCAAAGCTTCGTGTACATCAAAGATCTCATACAGGAGAGACACCGTATGGCTGCAGTGAGTGTGGAGAAACTTTTGCCTATACTTCTTCCTTATATTTACATAAAAGAAAACACACAAGTGAGAAACGTGTAGATTCAATCAAGGTGGAAGACTCTTCCACACCAACTCACAGCTCATCACATACCAAGGATTTCGTGCAGGAGAAAAGCCCTGTTAATACAGTGACTATGCAAATGCCTTCTGTGGCAGCTCAGACATCAGTAAACATCAGTGGACTCCTAACAAATAGGAACGTAGTCCTTGTGGGACAGCCTGTTGCCGGATGTCAACCCTCCGGAGATAACAGAGAATTTGTACAGCAGAGAGTCCTTATGAATGCAGTCAATGTGGTAGTGCCCATGAATGCAGTGAATGGAGCGGTGCCTTCTGTGATGAATTACATCTTATTTTATACCACACAAAACCCGTAGCATAAACTCAGATACATTTACTGGGGAATAGGAATGAGCAAAAATTTCTACCTCATTGTATGGCTACAAAATGTATTCTGAGGGAAATCATATGAATGCAAACACTGGAAAAGCCTGAAGTGCTCATTCTATGTAAATATGTGCATGGATGTTAAGACATAATCTAATTTTAACCTAAATGCATACACATCAATTACTCTATAGTGTCAGTTAAATGAATGAAAGTCCAAGTTCATGTCAGTGGACAAAATAAGTAATGTGAATTTTTAAAACAGAAAAGATAATTGGTATCAGGAATGTTGCTTGTTGTTGCCATCGAGTTAATTATGACTCATGGTGACTCCAAGTGTTACAGATGAACAATTACATAAGAAGTGGTGGGTACGTAAAGGGCAGTATTGTATTGGTGGGAATTGAGGCACATAAATATCAGTTCAGTTTGTCCATATCAGTGTGAAGGATCAATTGAATACCAGAATATCTACCACCAATTTTAGAACTTTATGTTATGAAGAGGGACCTATGAAAAAATAGTCTTACATTGAGTCTATTCTTGAATGTAGGGACTATGTCACATACTGCTTTTGTACCTGGCCCTGTTTCTAGGAGCTGAGGATGCAGTGGTGAATAAAGAAAAAAGACCATGCCCTGTAGGAGATTACATTGAGTTGGTCGGATTATGTTTAAGTGGAATCTTGATACTTCAGCTTATTTACTCAAACAGTGATGCAATACACATAGAATAATTGGTACAAGAGGTTTAGTTAGAAGTTTTTGGAGTTAGAAAATCCCAAAAACTTCTAATGACAATTTCTTGTCAAAATCTATTTGCCATTGAGTTGATTCTCATGGTGACTCTGTGTGTGAGGGTAGAACTGTGCTCCGTAAGGTTTTTCATGGCTGATTTTTTCAGAACTACATCATCGGGACTTCCTTTCTAGATATCTCTGGGTGGACTTGAACCTCCAACCTTTTTGATTAGCAACTAAGTGCATTAACCATTTTTACTACCCACAGATTACTGGGGCAAGGACTCCTTTGTGTGTATGTGGGCTTAAGGGTTTATTTAAAATTTTTTCCCAAACAAAAATTTATACATACATTGTTATGTGACCTCTTGCTCTCCCCATACTATGACAGCACACTCCTCCTTTGCACCCCTCATTGCCCCTGTCCTTTCAACCAGCTCCTAACCCTCTCTGCCTTCCCATCTCACCTCCAGACAGAAGCTGCCCATTTAGTCTCTTGTATCTACTTGAGCTAAGAGGCACACTCCTCACAAGTATCACTTTATGTCCCACAGTCCAGTCCAATCCCTGTATGAAGAGTTGGCCTCGGAAATTGTTTAAGTTCTGGGCTGATAGAGAATGCATGGGCCATTCTTTCTGGGGTTCCTCCAGTCTCAGACCATTAAGTCTGGTCTTCTTACTAGAATTTGAGTTCTGCACCCCACCTTTCTTCTGCTCCATCTAGGACTCTGTTGTGTTCCCTGTCAGGGCAGTCATTGGTGTTAGCCAGGCACCATCTAATTCTTTGGTTTATGTGGCCTTTTCTGTCTCTTGGGCTATGGCTTTCCTTGTGTCTTTGGTGTTCTTCGTTCTTTCCTCCAGGTGGTTGGGACCAATTGATGCATCTTAGATGGCCGCTTGCAAGCTTTTAAGACCCCAGACGTCACTCACTGAAGTAGGATGCAGAACATTTTCTTAATAAGCTTTGTTATGTCAGTTGACCTAGATACCCTCTGAAAGCATGGTCCCCAGAACCCTGTCCTTGCTATTCTGTCTCTCAAAGTGTTTGATTGTATTCAGGAAACTTCTTTGCTTTGGTTTAGTCCAGTTGTGCTGACTCCCCTTGTAGTGGGTGCTGTCCTTCCCTTCACCTAAGATAATTCTTATCTACTATCTAGTTAGTAAATAACCCTTACCCTCCCTCCCTACCCTCATAACCATCAAAGAATTTTTTCTTCTGTGTTTAAACCTTTTCTTGAGTTCTTATAATTGTGGTCTTATACAATATTTGTCCTTTTGTGACTGACTAAATTCACTCAGCATAATGACCTCCAGATTCCTCCATGTTATGTTTCACAGCTTCATCGTTGTTCTTTATCGTTGCGTAGTATTCCGTTGTGTGGATATACCATAATTTGTTTATCCATTCGTCTGTTGATGGGCACCTAGGTGGTTTCCATCTTTTTGCTATCGTGAACAGTGCTGCAGTGAATATGGGTGTGCATATATCTATTCGTGTGACATCTCTTATTTCTCTAGGACATATTCCAAGGAGCGGGATAGCTGGATCGTATGGTACTTCTGTTTCTAGCTTTTTAAGGAAGCACCAAATAGATTTCCAAAGAGTCTGTACCATTTTACATTCCGACCAACACTGTCTAAGTGCTCCAGTCTCTCCACAACCTCTCTAGCATTTCTTATTTTGTGTTTTTTGGATTAATGCTAGCCTTGTTGGTGTGAGATGATATCTCATTGTAGTTTTGATCTGCATTTCTCTAATGGCTAATGATCATGAGCATTTCTTCATGTGACTGTTAGCCGCCTGAATATCTTCTTTGGTGAAGTACCTGTTCATATCCTTTGCCCATTTTTTAATTGGGTTGTTGTTGAGGTTTTACAGTATCTTGTAGATTTTAGAGATAGACACTGATTGGATTTGTCGTAGCCAAAATTTTTTTCCCAATCTGTAGGTTGTCTTTTGACTCTTGGTGAAGTCTTTTGATGAGCATAAGTGTTTGATTTTTAGGAGTGCCCATTTATCTAGTCTGTTCTGGTGCTTGTGCATTGTTACTTATAGTTTGTATTGTGTTTATGCAATGTATTAGGGCTCCTAGCATTGTCCCTATTTTTTCTTCCATGATCTTTATCGTTTTCTATTTTATATTTAGGTCTTTGATCAAAATTTTGAGTTATTTTTTGTGCATGGTGTGAGGTATGATCTTGTTTCATTTTTTTGCAGTTGGATATCCAGTTATGTCAGCACCATTTGTTAAAGAGACTGTCTTTTTCCCAGTTAACAGACTTTGGGCCTTTGTCAAGTATCAGCTGCTCATAGGTGGATAAATTTATGTCTGGGTTCTCAGTTTTGTTCATTGGTCTGTGTATCTGTTTTTGTACCAGTACCAGGCTGTTTTGACTACTGTGGCAGTATAATAGGTTCTAAAATCAGGTAGTGTGAGTCCTCCCACTTTGTTAGAGCACCGGCTGAGACAGCTGAGCAGACTGCTGTACTGATTGTGAGCTGGGCCAGTTAGCAGCAGAGGCCAGTGGTGGAGACCCATTGGTGAAGCAGCCAGATAGCAGAGAGGCTTTGAGAGCAGAGAACTGTTTGAGGTCCTTATCTAGAACTGCATCATCAGGGAGCATTTTTGCTCCAAGGGTTACCCTGCAATAAAGCTGTCCAGACTGACCAGTTGCATTCTAGTTGTATTCTTTTAAGTTGATCCTGATTCCAAGCTGTAGTCTGTTATCTCCCTAATAAAACCCATAACTGTAAGTATGGTTCTTAAGTTTTGTGTGGCAATTGCAATGAATTAGCAAACTAAGCAGAGAAGTAGGGAGTGCTATAAGTAGAATTGCAGGTATCAGAAATGGCGAAGAAGTTGGAGAGCAGAGGTATGTCTGACTTCCTCGTAGGATCCAGCTTTTTGCTGATCCAGATTTTTATCTGTTATGGATTGAATTAAGTCCCCCCAAAATATGTGTTGTGTATCCTAACGTCTGTGCCTGTGGTTATAATCATATTTGGGAATAGATTGTCTTCGTTATGTTAATGAGGCAGGATTAGTGTAGGATGTATCTGGAGTCAACCTATTTTGAGATATAAAAGATTAAACAAGCTAGCGGAAAGAGAGATGCTGTAAGGTAACTGCCAAGACACATGGAGATCTCCAAGGAAGCAGAAGCTTAAGAGACGAAGACCTTCCTCCAGAGCCAACAGAGAAAACCTTTCCGTAGAGCTGAAGCTCTGAATTTGGACCTATAGCCTCCTAAATTGTGAGAAAATAAATGTCTGCTAAAGCTGTCCACTTGTATTTCTGTTATAGCAGCATGACATAACAAAGAATTTGGTACCGAGAAATGAGGGTGCTGCTCTAACAGATACCTAAAATGTGGATTCAGTTTTGGAATTGGGAAATGGGTAGAGGCTGGAAGAGTTTTAAGGTGCTTAATAGTAAAAAGCCTAGATTACCTTGAAGAGACCATTGGTAGAATTATTGATGTCAGTGGCAATTCTGGTGAGGGCTCAGAAAGAAGTGAGGAGAGCTGTAGACAAAGTCTCTGTCATCTTACAGAATACATATGGCACCAGCAACAGAGTGTTGCTAGATATGTGGACATTAAATGTGCTTCTGGTGAGGCTTTAAAAGAAAATGATGAACATGTGATTGGACAATGGAGGAAGAGCAGTGTTTAATGCAGTAGCAAAGAACTTGCCTGAATAATGTTCAAGTATTTGGTGGAAGGTAGAACTTGTAAGTGATCAACTTGGATATCTGGCTGCCGACATTTCTAAGCAAGATCTTAAAGGTGCTGTGTGGTTTCTCCTAGCTGCTGCTTATAGTAAAATGCAAGAGAAAAGAGATGGACTTAAAAATGAACTGTGCAAAATGAAAACAGAACTTAAAGATTTGGAAAATTCTGTTGTACACATGTCCTAGAATGTTCAACAAGGATGGGACTAGATAATCCTTATTGTTAAAGAGATTTAGCCTGACTGATGGAAATTTTGTTATACAAACTAAGGACACGTGTCCTAGAATGTTCACCAAGGACGTGGCTACGCAATATTTTGTTAAAGAGATTTAGCCTGTGACTGATGGATCTAACCAACTACCACAGCAGAAAACCCATAGCTTAGATGGAAGGGAACAGAGAACAAAACGAAAGAATGTGGTCTGCCTGTTGGAATTCTGCAGACAGGATACAGGCCAAAGGAGCTACATCTGTTGTACTCCAGAAAAAGAAATGGACCATCCCTGAGGCAGCTTGAAGATCAGCAGAACTGTTGGAAGGAGCATAGGAATGAGGGCCTTCTGGGTTTCAAGGGTGGGGCCACAGCCTACTAAGTTTCAGAGACTCTGATCTTTTCGAACTCAGTTCTGGAGTATGGAGCTGCCGTTAAGGTGTGCCAGAGGGATGGGGCTGCTGCCCAGAGCTGAGGGGGTGGGGCTCCCATACCCAAGGAGCTGAAGAACAGGGCCTTCTGGGGCTGAGAGGATGGGGTTGCCACTTAGATGGACTAGGAGAAGGGGGCCACCCAAAACCAAGGGAGCAGAGTTGCTGTCACAGAGGATCCTCCACCCAGAATCCAGAGGGTGTGGCCAACACCCAGAGTCTGGAGGATGGGGCCATTTCCCAGATGGTCCCCAAACTGTCAGTTCATTATTTATTCTCTGGCAAGGTGAGCCATATCCCAGTTTATTAGTAAGTCATTATGTGTCCAGTTCCCATTGGTAGTTTTAGGAATGGCATGCAGATGAGCTTAGGTATATGGAGCAATTCTACCCAAGTATGTATGTGAAAGTGCTTGACTACTAGAAAAATGCGGATTTCTTCTGGGTCATTTCTCCCATTCCTTGCATTTTTTATGTGTGCCTCTTTCTATTTTAATCAATCTCATTAAGAACATGTATTTTACTGGTCTTATCAAAGAACAAACTTTTTGGTGTATTGGGGTTCTTCATTTTGCTTTTGATATTTTTGGGCTCTTCTATTCCTTTTTTCAGAGTCTGATCTTGGCCAATTCAGTTCCAGAGTGTGGGGCTGTCAGTAAGGTATGCCAGGGGGATGGTGCTGCTGCCCAGAGCTGAGGGGGTGGGGCCTGCTGGGACCCAGGGGGTGGGGTCACCACTCAAATTGACTAGGAGAATGAGTCCACCCACAGCTGAGAGAGCTTAGTTGCTGTCCCAGTGGGCCTGGAGGGTGGAGCTAAAGGCCAGGGCCAAGGGACCCCCACCCAGAATACAGAGAGCGTGGCTAGCACTCAGAGTCTGCAGGATGTGGGGCCATTGACCAGATGGTCTCAGAGAACAGAGGAGTATTTTCAAGCCTTGAGAGCTAATGTAATTTGTTTTACTGTGTTTTGGACATGCTTGGTGTCTGTTACACCTTCTTTCCCTCCAGTTCCTCCCATTTGTAGTGGA